TTGAGGCCTGGCCTTCAGTGAATGCCCTCTGAGCACAGATGTGTTCTTATCTCCCGCGCTGACTCCTTTGAGGGCCTGGCCCTGTCTGACTGCCTTTAATATTGCTACCTAACTTAGCTGCCTGTAATAGGTTCTAGGTTCTTTCTGTCCTGAACAAAAAATTGGTCACAACAAGCACAAAAGGAAGTAAGGTTTTATGTTTATTAAAGGTAGGAAAAGAAACATGCTCTGGAGAGCAAGTTTGGGCCAAGTAAATGTAGGGAAAAAAGAACACTAAATAGCTACTGTGAAAGAACACAGCAGTGGGAAGTTTAGTAGTGACTGTCCTTTTTCTTTCTCCCACTCCTCAGGCTGACGTTAGTCTAGCCCGCCCTATCCAAAACTACTCAAGTTCTTGTGAGAAGTCCACATGCAGGGCTTTGGGAAGTGTTCTGCGCATGCGTCCTGGGATTCTACCCAGCCAGAGGTGATGTAACAGTGGTTAGTAGTTGGGTTTTGGAGTGAGGCTTGAGTTTGAATGCTAGCTCCGCCATATTAACAACGTAACCTTGAGCTCTTCAGTTTCCTTAGCTGCAAAATGGGAATAAGAACAGCGTCTACCCATGAGAATGAAAATACTGTATTTGTAAACATTATGAGAGGTGCTGCTTAACACACGGTATAGCTCAGAGTAGCTCAAAGATAGAAAAAGCTTCTAGAGCACCCAGCCCAGAATGTACGACCCTGGCCGTAAAATGACTCCCTGCAGTGTGGTCAGACGGGGTGTGTTTGGCTATAAGCAGTGCAGAACCCACTCACACCAAGCGAAACGATGACCCGTGTTCTCACCATGAAACAGTTGATTCTGTACAAATGGAACCCGTGGTTTCCCAAAAATCAACACATAAAGTCACGAACCCAAAGGAGAAAGGAGTTTTTATTGGAAATAAGAGGAAAAAAGGCTCCTGGCTTCTCCAAGTGGGGATCCAAAAGTTGCAATTTCCACGTGGTCCCTTAGTCCAGAACTGTTTATGGATAAGGGGAAACGTGGGGATTGCTCAATTATTTAACTGCCACTGATCACAGGCTGATCACAGGCTGCTCTGTGAATTTAAAATGACCAATGGGAACTCAGGCTCTCCAACCCAGTTACTTTGCTTGTGGGGTTTAAAGGAAACTGGTATTAAAAAAAAAAAAAGGTTATTTTGCATTTTAAATCCCCCCCCCCCCCGTACCAGGAATCGAACTCACAACCTTGCACTTGCCAGGTAGGCGCTGTGCCACTGAGCTAAATCCCCAGCCCACACCTTAGATTCCTGGAAACTCAGAAACTAAGTAGGGAGTGGCTGTGACTTCCTTTAGTAGGGAGGAGGCTGCATTCCATGTTCCTGGAGGAAGAATATTCTTGGTCCAAAGGCCTAGTTCACTGTTTATCTTAGGCCCTGTCCCAACTAGCTGCCTTACTCATAAGCTAACTGAATAAACTATTTTTTTTATTATAGTAAGTGTGAGTCTAGAGGTTAGGGAGGCTTCGTAGGTGTCTCAGCCCAATGGGTGTGGCCTCCCTGGTTGATTCTCCTGGCTCTGTCTTCCTCACCCAGGAGTGAAATGTCTGTATGCATTCTGGCCCTCCTACCCATGCCCAGGCGAAGAGAAAGGATTGTTTCTAGAAGATTTCCCATGAAAGGAAGGAAGAACAGCTCCCAAGTCCACAGAAAGCCTTCCCTCAGGGCCTAAGAGTTCACATGGGATCACACAGCCATTCCTGACAAAATCATGGGCCAAGAAGGTGCAGTTATCCACAGGCTGACCCACTGGGGGTGGATTCCTCCTTTTCGGAGGTGAGAGCGCCAAGGGAGACTTACCCGAAGAAAGTGAAGGTTACCAGGAAGGAGGAGATAAATGAACTCTGAGCAGACAGTGATTTTGTGGGAAACATTTATTGGGCCAGATGCTAAAAACAAAATTGTTAACCATAACGGGTCTTTACAGTCTTGTGATATGTAGTTTCAGAGGGCTTAATTTCAAGCCATTTTTTCCCCCCGAAATTTTTAGGGAAGATTTTCAGCCTATACTATGGTTACTAAGTGCCTAGGGTTTTCTAAAACTGAGTTTCTGGTGGTTTTTTTTGTTTGTTTTTTTGTCTTATTTTGGTACTGGGAATCAAACTCAGGACCTTGTGCTTCCCAGAAGGTGCTTGTGCCACTGAGCTATATCCCTGGCCCTGTTTTTTTAGTGTTTTGGGTGCTGGGGACTAAACTCTGGGCCTGCTACTGAGGCAGGAGATTAAGGCGTGGCAGAGTGGCTGGGGAAGTATTCACAAAGTCCCAGGACACATGTATAGAACAGTTCCCAAAGCCCTGTGTGTGGACTTCTCCAGAGAACTCGCAGTTTTGGACAGGCAACCTAGACCTGATGTCAGCCTGAGGAGTGGGAGATACAAAAAGAGCAGTCACCGCTGAACTTTCCACTATGCTCTTTCACAGTAGCACACTCTCCAGCTGTAGAGTGTGTTTCTTCTCCTACTTTAACTTGGCCCAAACTTGCTTTACAGAGCATGTTTCTTTTCTTATCTTCAATAAACATAAAACCTTGCTACCTTTTGAGTTTGTCTTGACCAAGTCTTTGCTTAGGATAGAAAGAACCTAGAAATCACCTCTAGAAGTAGGAGGCTCTAGCACCCCAAAGCCCAGTAACACTACCTCTGAGCTGCTATACCCACAGCCCCTAAAACTTTTCCTTCCTCCCTCCCTCCCTCCCTCTCCTTCCTTCCTTCCTTCCTTTTCTTTCCTTCCTTTCTTCCACCCCTTTTTTTCTGTACTAAATATTGAACCCAGGCCTTGCATATACTAGGCAAGCACTCTACCACTGAGCTGTACCCCACCACAGCCATTTTAATTTTATTTTGAGATAGGGTCATGCTACATTGCCCAGGCTTACCTTAAATTTGGCCTCCAGAATAACAGGGATTACAGGCACGCACCAGTGCACCCAGCCTAAACCCTAAAATTAGCAGTGGTTTCAATTTCCTCTTTCACCAAACTCATCTGGCTCTAGGATGGATTGGAAAGGGTTGCATCCTATCAGCAAGTATGCCTCCTGTAGGCAAATCTTGTCCTGGTTCTGCTACAGACTTGTTATCATCAACATTATTGTAATAGTCACTGGAAATTTCAAGGGATTCACGGATTTCCCATGACCTGGGCAACACATCCAGAAGGGGTTATGAATGGAAATGAAAGCTGTGCGAAGTCCCTTGCCCATGCTTGACCCACAGTTAGTTATGGTTTGTTTAGCCTTCCTAGCTCCTACAAAGTAAAGAACTTCTATGGCTTATAAACTAGGATCTTAGAGCTGATCTGGCCTGGAGGTTTTGAAGTCTTTGGATAGGCACGGCAGAGGGGTCAGTATTTCCCCTCAGGTACAGAAATTTGCATGTGCAGACACCTGTGTACTCTTGTCAAAGTACCCTGTGGCTTCCAACCCATGTCCTAAGATCAGAGACACAAACAGGTGGACTATAATCCCACAAGACAGGTGAGAATGGGGCTGAGAGGGATACACATCTAAAGTCACATGAGTTGTGCAAAGTGATACAGCAGGAGAAGCCCTTAAGAGCATGATTTTCAGACTGAGATCTGGAGAATTATATGAGGCACTCCCATGATTTTACAAATATATGACTCAAATTCCAGCTCTGAAGAGGTGACATAAACCACAGATACTTGAGTGTAAATTGAGCATGGAGCCTGCTTTAAGACTGTAACTCTAACTCTGATTAATATTTTTGTTTTTCAAATCAGCCTCGTTATTCTCATTAGTGTATTTTATAAGTACATATTACACCTGTGAACTTAAGAACTGATGCTAGTAAAAGACATTTTAAACCTTTTTGCCAGCATGTGCTTTCCTTTGATACAAGGAGCTTGCTTCTAAAAGGAAGTCTGAGAACCACTGATGAGTGGATGGGAAGGGCTCTTACTGGAAGCCTTCAATGTCAGTGGGACCCTGGTTCTTTCTGTTTAGACCAAGGTACTGTAACATACTGTGGTTATAAACAATCAACTCCCCTTATTTGGGTCGAACTTCAGCTTGAGGAGATGACCCAAAACTAAAGTTTAACTTTAAAACCTGCTTAGAAAGCCAGGTGTGGTGGCGCATGCCTGTAATCCCAGCACACGGGAGGCTGAGGCAGGAGGATCATTGCGAGTTCGAGACCAGCCTGGGCTACAAAGTGAGCTCAAGGCCAGCCTGAACTGCATAGTGAGACCCTGTCTCAAAAAGACAAAAATAAATAAATAAATAGATAGATATAAAAATCTTGCTTGGTATAAATGCAAAGTCAAATGACTGTTGATTGTCTTGGACACTTGTGATCTATACATAAAATGACTGCTACTGGTGGTGGGGTATGTACAGGGATGGCAGAAGCAGTGACACACGAAGATGTACACAGAGACATCTTAGGTGGACTTTGGCACTGGACAGTCTGGGTTCAATGCCAGCTCTGCTCCTCACCACCAGGGGAGTTGGCTAAGTTCTACTCTGAGCCTCAGTGTCTCCTCTATAAAATGGAGTATGTATCCCATCAAGCCGTTCTGAGGACAAAATGATGAATGTATGCGTGTGTTTAAGCACAAGGCTAAGTGACTAGCGCTCCACATGCTGTGGGCTGACGTTTAAGGCTAAGTGACTAGCGCTCCACATGCTGTGGGCTGACGTTAATCCGGGACAGCTCTGCAAAGGCTGGATGTCGCAGGTAAACCCAAAGTGTCCTATCATTATTTTAAGCAGAAGTGGGTTTGTGTGATTATCTGAGTGACAGCTGAAAGTGGGTTCCCATCCCACCTGGAGGAAGTCAAAGGAAAATGAAGCCAGCCGAGGGTCGAGGGGTGGGGGAGGGCAGTCTCAAACTCCCAGGGAAAGTGTGTGGGCCAAGGCAGCCACCCGGACTAGATCTGATGTGACTTGCGAGAAATTAAATCCGCAAAATCTAGTGCAGAAACAGACTTGCACCCAGAGAGAATTAAAGCACACATACTTTATTATGTACATTATCAGAAGGGGACGCTATGGGAAATGCTCTTGCACTGGTGTTCTCACCCCAGGGCTCCTTCTAGGCTTTTCCCCTTCCAAGTGATTTAACTGTAGCCTATGAATTCATAAGGCAGCAAAAGGACGACCATTCGGTATTGGACAGAGGGAACTGGACCAAAAGCACTGTCCCTCTACATCTGAGAAGAGATTTTCCCCAGGGTACGGGGTTTCCTGGTCCTCAGTAGTCCAAGGTCAACAGACAAAACCATCATTTTAAAATTCAAAATGCAAATACAACTTGAGTCCTGAGTTGAAACAGTCCATACACCTCTAATAAACTCAGGAACCTGGACAGACAGTGGTTCAAAGTTTTCTAAAATAAACTTGGAAATAGAGAGCAGTGGGTGGGACATTATGGGCTGACAGAATGATTCAGCTAAGGGCTGAGACGAAGACAGGTGGTGGGAAAGGAAGCTGTTATTTTTGGACTTCTCCAGGTAAACTGAGAGCCTCAAAGAGGACATTGTAAATGTCAACAACCAACTTCCAGGGCCAGTAGAAAGTGTCAGGTTGCTCCAATTCATAGGCATTTGCAAAACAAGGTGCTTCCTGATATTTCAGGCTAGGAAGCTATGGCCCACAGGAGCTGCCTGCTTCCTTCTTCAGTATCAGCATATACTGAAGAGAGCAATGAGGCAAACGAACAGTTCTGCCTCTCACACAAGTATCCCAAGTCCGACAGTGTTGGCCCACGATCCCTTGATATTACAGGTCTTCATGAATGGGACTGGTAGGCAGGCTATTTTGCAGTGTACAGTAGTAAATAGCATGCAAACAGTAATATGTAATTTTTTTGAAGATATTTTTTTAAAAATCTTTTAATCCTTTAGCTGTTCAAATGATATATAACTGTTTATATAACTTAGAGAAATTTTTATTAAAAAGTCAAAACTATCCAAAACTTGCTATATGAAAATAGGCCAAAGTTAGAAGAAGCACTTTTGTGGTAAGCAGTTAGCTGGTTTGAATGACAGACCACAGAGGAATCTTTTCCTCCTGAAGGAGGCTCAAAGGGAGTTACAAAAAAATGCATCTGTTATTTTCACGAGGACCACCACAACGGAGAATTTAAAAGTCACCGAAAGGTTAGGGTGATCTTTTCCATAGATCCTGACCATTTGCTCTAGTTTGTAAGTACGAGAAGATGCCTCCTACCCAGTGAGGTTGGGGTTTATAAAGTAGGCAGACACCAGGGAATGTCCCTGACGAAGACTCCCTTGGAGGTAAGGCACAGATAGCCCAGAGAAGCTGGCCGCAGCACAGGTGGCAGGACGGAGTGTGAGCCTGTGTTCTTGCCTCGGGTCTGGCTGCTAATGACGGTTCAGAATGACTCAGTGGAAGTCAAAAGGAGAAGGATTTGACCTATTCCAGGGTAATCTAAAATACAAATCCTTGAGTATTTTAAAGAATAGGAAATTATCTCATATGTAAATCACCAATCTCTCTTCCTCTCAGGATTTACAAGCCAGCAATTCCTTCCACTGTTGATATGATCACTACACATTCTAAAAACTTTAACATACAGAAAAGGACAGGGAGGGAGGATAGTCAAGGGTCCCTGCTCTACTCTCCTTGTGAGCTGAAGGCTAACTTGGTTCCCTACGTCTTCTTCAGATGTGCATAGCTCATCTCAGCACTGGCCTAAAAGGCTCAGTGTTTTGCTCCCATGATGCCTTGCAACAAATCTATAGGCAGAGGGAAAACAATTGTGGAGTTTTTCTCAGCAGCAATGGTGGTTAACGTCTGAAGGTACCGGAGCTGAAGGGCTGCAGGAGACTCTGTGATAACGATGGAGGCTTCTTTTAGAGCTCTGGATGCATTCATTTCTCCCTCAGCTGCAATGACCTATGGCAGGGGGAAAGAAGAGGTCAGACCAGAGAAGCCACATGGTGGAACGCAGCAATTTTCAAACTGGAAGATGTATGTCTAGGTAGTATGTGAAACTTCCCAGGGAACGTGCCAGGGTAGTTTTAAGGAAATCAACTTCCAGATTGTGCCTAGCTCGTGTTATTCTTTTTATGATTCCCTTTCTCTGATTTTCCAGGATACCATACAAAGGGACAAGTCACAATAGTGTACAGGGCTTGAGAAAGACAATGACTTCAATGATTCCACATAAATCTTTCTGCAAGTCAGGTGGATGCCTAATTCTTTGATTTCAAAGAAAGGAAAGAGGATCTTATTGAACTGCAAGCTGATGGACTATTAAAAGTATGTGTTAGGCTGGGATGTAGCTCAGCGGCACAGCACCTGCCTGGCAAGTGCAAGGCCCTGAGTTCCATTCCTGGTACCAAACAAACAACCAAACAAACAAACCTACATTTTGATAAATGATTGCTGTATGACCTTTTAGCACACACACTCAAAGAGAGTGCTAAGAACTATGTGACTTTAAATAAAAGTACTTCCACCAACTTATTTATGTTAACATTTCTTAGTTCTCTTGTCTATCAAAAATGAAAACTGGAATGAACACTGATACTAAAGCCTGTCTCACTCTAACAATAAATAATAGCTACCCACACATTTATGATATAACCTCTCATGTACTGTATTGAGCAGCATTTCTCGTAAAAACTTATTCCTTATTTAGAAGAAATTCTAGATAACATTTGCCCTGTTTATAGTCACAAGAAATTTTAAATACCCAGGCGGGGTGGTGCACACTTATAATCCTAGCACTTAGGAGGCTGAGACAGGAGGATCATTGCAAGTTTGAGGCCAGCCTGGGCTACAAAGTGAGTTCAAAGCCAGCCTGAACTGCATAGCGAGACCCTGTCTCAAAAAAAAGACATTTTAAATAATTAATTGCAACTTGTATACTAAAGATATTATAGTAGGGTAATAAAATAATTCATGACAAAACATATTAGGGAAAGCATCTGGAGGGAAAGGCTGAAATGGAAACACGACTTCAGGAAGAACATAAGAAACAGCACGGAGGCATAAAAAAGCTGGTGTATCCCGGAAAACTGCTAGTGGCTGAATACTGTGTGGGGAAGACAGAAAAGGCAGCCGGTGAGTGAGGCCAGGATCCGTAGGGCACGGCAGGCCCAGGGCCTTTGATTTTTGTTCTGTAGGTAACAGGAAGCCATGGGTCTGTTTTAAGCAGGTAAGTAACCTTGTCAGATCAACTCAGAAAACAGTGAGGGATGTCTGAGGGTAGAGAAGAGACTGGAAGCTGTTGGTGGAGCTGTTTCCGAGGGGCCCGCGGGACTGTGGTGATGGGGGTGAGGACAGAACGGATTGGGAGATACTTTAGAGGGAGAGTCAGCAGTATTTGGAGACTGGCTGGTGAGACTCTTGTTTCTAGGTTTTGGTTGGATGGGTAGTGCCACTGATGGAGTCAAGGGGTACCGGACGGGGTACCTACCGTTTTACAGCACAAAGACCCTAGTTTATCAAGGCAAGCCATTATGTGCTCCTCCCTTGGTCTACGAGAAGGGGCAAAGGCCAAACACACTCACAGAAAACCACATGGCTCTATCTAAGGCAAGCACTAGAGAATTCATTAATAAACCCCCGCCATGGGAGCAGCAGGCTCTGATTTTTTTTTCCATGTCATCTCAGATATCCAATTAGATACTTTTTTTGTCTGGATGTGGACTAACCACAAAGGTATCTCATTCCCCACCACCAATCAATACACAATCTCTTGGCCGGGAGGCCAGACCCACCAGGTTGGGCGCACAGTTTGTTCGTAGAAAAGATGCCCTGGGCAAGCTGCCAAAGACTGAACACAATACACAGGCTTTGTCTAGATACGCTGCGGACAGCATCTTAGAGAGCAAAGCTACTTGGGACTCTGTGGGGCTTTTTCTTTCTTTCTTTTTAATTTTTTTTAAATTTTTTTGCTAAATGTGTAGTAATTCCATGACAATCAATGCTTTAGATTCACAAGCTTTTATTTTATTATATTTTATTTGCAGTTTTGGGGATCAAACCTAGGGCCTCATGCTGACTAGGCAAGTGCTCTACCACTGAGCTACACCCCCAAGCCTCCCCACAGAGCATAAATTAAACTACGCTGTGAGGCGGGCACTTCCTGTCCCTCTCTGGAGAACATGTGGGCTGGGAGAGGAAAAGGCGGAGAAAGCTGATATTTTTCAGCTCGCACTCCACCCCTTCTCATTATTGACACCAGTCCAGAAACATGAGCCGGAAAGCACTTGCCAGACATTCTTCCGAGTTGTAAACAGGAAGTAAGGAAGAATGGAAGCACTGAAGATTTACAATCTGAACCATTAGGGGTTGGTCCAGAAACCTTACAAAGAGATTTGGTTAACATAGAGCACAACGTGCAGAGAATCTGTCTCTTTTGTGCATGGCTTCTTCACTTATATTCATAAGCAGTCACATATTCATCCTCTTTGCTACAGAGGATTCCTTCATGTGAATAAATCACACTTTACCCGTTCAACTAGCAGACATCAGGGAAGTTTCCTCTCTGGGGCAATTATAGAATGCTGCTGTGTACATCCTAGTACATGCTTCCTGGTAGATACATGAGCACAGATCTATGAGATACATGCAGAGAAGTGGAGCTACTTTCAGGGCCTGCAAATAGATATTGTCAGATTATCTTCCACAGTGGTTGTACCAATGTACATTCCCACCAGCAGAGACGAGCACTCTAGTTCCTCCCTCAGGCACACTTGGTTCTTTTCTTATCATTTTCCAGTCCATTTGGTGGGTAGCTAGATGTTATGGCTTGTATCTGGAGGTCCCCTCAAAGGCTCATGTGCTCATAGGTAGGGCTTTTTGGAGGTGGCTGGATCTAGGGTTTGTGAATGTGGATTAAGGGTATGATAACTAAATTAGTCCACTGATTGGTGTAGCATAGTTCTGGTGTGGATAATGGGAAGGCCCACCCTGGATGTGAGTGGTACCAACGAATAGGCTTGCAGCCTGGATGGGATAAAAGGCAAAGGGAAGCTTGCAGGTGCTGCTTTGCTCCCTCACTGCCTTCGGCCTGCTATGTCATGAACTCTTTCTCCTTTGCAATGCCCCTTGCGATGGCCCCCTTCCTTAGAGCCAGCTGACTATGGGCTGAAACCTCCACAAACTGTGAGGTAAAATAAACCTTCCCTCCTTGAACTTGTGGGTGTCAGGTATTTTGTTTCAGTAATAGGAAAAGTAGCTAAGATGCTAGGGTTGCATCTGCTGTAATTTGAATTTGAATCTCCCTGTGACTAATTACGCCATTTTTCTCTGAAGCCTCTTCATCTACCGACTCTCACAACCAATCTCTCTTTTCCTCTGCAATTTGTTGAAGAAACTATGACTTCGTTTTCCAGGAGAACCTGAAGTAAGGCTACGGTTGTGGTAGGATACTGTTTTTTACAGAAGTGTTTGGCTCATTGTGTGAACATTAACCTTGAAGATAATTAGTTTCTTTCAAGGTTCATGAAACAGCTGTCAGACTAACCTCACAGCCCTATCCAAGCGACAACGTGGTGACCAAAATTCTACCAGACTTCCTGATTTTGTTATAAAGAGAAGACAGGAACTTTTTCTCTAAACTGGTGTGCTGTGCAGAAGGTTCAGCCCGTCCTGGAAGTCCAGAGAAGGCAGGAGAAGCAGAGGAGAATTCTCATTTCCACTGCCATTAATCAACAGTGTGACCTTGAGGGAATCACGTAAGTTTTCTAGGCTCGATTTTTCACTTGGCTATTGGGATGGCAGACAAGCTCCACTGCTAGGGCTCTCTCCAAGCAGTTGAGAGCTATTACTTGGAGCACGGAGAAGGCCCGATTCTGAAGCCAATCTAAGTTCAGGGGCACACAGTGCTGGTCAGGCGGCGGGGTGCAGTGTGCTTAGTGAAGTATTTGTCACTTTGGGAAGATAAGCTCACACTCTGCTAGTCTGTGTGATATATCTGCCGACCAAAGATTTCTTTCACACAGCTGCAAGGACTGTTATTCTACAGACTACATCTCAGTGTTAGTGGCATTTCTTGAGTAAGGTGTCAGAAAGTTAACTATATCCTTAGGAATTTGATAAAGCACATTTGTGTATTCTTTCAATCCACTGACCCAATTGCTCAATAAATTTTTCAATAACACTCATGAGCAGACATTGTATTGGGAAAAGGACATGAAAAGCTTTGGCCCCTTCATCCTAGATGTTAGGGAATAAGGAAGCCTTCTAAGTGACAAGGTGTAGGGAGGGTTAAGGGTGGCAGGGGAGAGACCTGACTGAATCTCCAAAAATAGGAATAAAAATACTCTGAGGGTGGAGTGGACAAGCATCCGAGGCAGAAAGAATTGTGTGTACAGAGCAACAGAGGCATGAGAGTGCTGAAGTGGATGAACTGCACACGGCACAGTACTACTGGGACAAAATCCATGGGAATGTTTTTTGGGGGGGTGGATGTTTTCATTTACTTAATATGGTTTAGAAATGGGGCTTTTGTTTGACAACAGATTCCAGATAAAATAAATTTCTAATTTTCTAAAATAACTAGATGATAGTACGGAACATTTACTAACATTATCATACATATAACTTAGGTTTCTAAAATAATGATCTCATTTCATTTGTTTATTTATTTATTTGATCTTTTTGAGACAGGTTTCGCTATGCAGTTCAGGCTGGCTTTGAACTCACTTGGTAGCCCAGGCTAGCCTCAAACTTGCACTAATCCTCCTGCCTCAGCCTCCCGAGTATGGGGACCTGGGATTACAGGCATGCATCACCACACCCAGCTGGAAGTGATGATTTTAAAGAAGGCATTTGAGGATTCTGTAGCATCATAAAGTGGTTATCACAAGCAACAACAATAATATTAGGAAAATTTAGAATTCTGGTTGACGTAAGATTCTGGGGGTGGCATGTCAGATAGGCTACTCTTCTATTTGGTGTTATGAAATTATACTAACCAATCAGTGGCTTGAAGAGCATCCTAAGAGAAGGACAGGGTTTGCAGTCAGCCAGTTATCACCAGCTACTACTCTTTTCTAACGATGATAAAGTGGTTTGTTTTTTATGTTTGGGAGGTCTGTCAAGGCTGCAGCACCCCCTGCTATGAAAACTCTTCTGCTAGGTGTGACGGCACATGAATCCCAGCACTCTGGGAGGCTGAGGCAAGAGGACAGCAAGTTTGAGCCCAGCCTGGGCAACTGAGTGAGACGACATCTCAAAATAAAAAAAAAAAAAGGACTGGGGATGTAGCTCAGTGCGAAGGCCCTGTGTTTAATCCCCAGTAAAACACACACACACACACACACACACACACACACACACACACAGATACCCTCTCTTCCAGTTGTCATGGGGGTGGAGGGTGTGGCTGTGTTAGTACTGAACTTTGCCCTTGAACCAAAGTCAGACCAAAGAAAACTTCTTTTCCGTGAACGTGGAATCAGGACTGGTCTGTGTCTTTGGTACTCACCTGGCCCACTGTGTGAACGTAGGAGTCAAGTGTCATCCACCACAAATGATCTGCAATGGCCCTGGCCCGGGCCCAGGAAGGGAAATGACTGGCTCCCTTCAGCCCTGACCACTTTCGGGTCCTGATGTTCAGATCTGGTGAGGCTCGAGTCTACTGCCTATTTTAGGGTTTGAGGAGATAGCCCTGTATTTCTGTATATTACCACCTTCAGAGATACTCTCTCTCTCTTTCTTTGTTTTCTTTCCTTTCTTCCTTCCTTTCCTTTTTTTGTGGGGAGGGGGAATAGTCTTGCTATGTAGTTCAGGATGGCCTTGAACTCACAGTAATCCTCCTGCCTCACCCTCTCAAGTGCTGGGATTATAGGTACACATCACCACACCCGGCTTCTTTTCTAAATTAGTTGAACAAATATGTCCTCAGTGCTATGCGCATGAACTATTAAACAAAAAGGACACAGTGAACAACAATATGTTGGTGTGACTCTCTTTTTGTAAAACAAGCCAATCACCTAACAACCTAATCAAACAACGTTCAAGTTTTAAGAGTGTCAGGCATGGTGGGCATGCCTGTTATCCCAGCACTTGGGAGGCTGAGGCAGGAGGATCTCCATGAGTCCATGAGTTTGAGGCCAGACTGGGCTATGTAGTAAGTTTAAGGCCAGCCTGAACTACACAGGGAGACTCTGTCTCAAAAAACAAAAAAATAAAACAAACAAAAAAACTATTAAGAGTGTGGCCTCTGCGAGAATAGATTCAGAGTGATGGGGAAGGCTTCCATCTTTACTGAGTCTTTCAGGATTGTTTGAATTTTTTTTTTTTTTTTTTAGTGAGCTTTGTGGAATTAAAAAACAAAGTTCAGGGGCTGGGGATTTAGCTCAGCTGCACAGCACCTGCCTGGCAAGCGCAAGGTCATGAGTTCGATTCCCGGTACCAGAAAAAAAAACCCAAACAAACAAACAAACATAAAAAAGAAAGTTCAATAAGAAAAACAATTCAGACAACAAACGGAGAGAAAACATTACCTTGGCTCGGGCCTCCCGAGATGCTTCTGCCTCTGCAGCCATAGCTCTCTGGAGCTGTGTGGGTAGCTTCACGTCCTTAATTTCCACACGCTCCACCTTTATGCCCCAGTCGTCGGTGGCGTCATCCAGCGTGCACTGTTAGGGGACAGCAGGCAAGCGACACTCGGTCAGCTCCCACCCAGAGGCCTGCAGTGGCTGCAGCCGCTGGGACGGGGAGCGGAGAGTGCTGGAGGAGGGTGGCAGAGAGTAGGCTGAGACAGAGCCAGGTTACCAGGGAACTCATCCTGAACACGCTCCTGGAAGCTCACGGCAAACTGCACATCGTTCAAGTGCAGTCTCCGTCGCAGCTACCGGAGGTCCGAAGCAGCCCTGGGTAATCTATATGCTGGGTGTGGCTTCCGTGAAACTTTACTACAAAAGAGAGGACGGCCAGCCAGAGGGTTATAGTGCACTGACCCCCGAGCGTGTGTGCTGCTGCATACGGCATGGTACTTCTTTGTGTTTCACTTTCCTCTTACAAGGGCTGGAAGGAAACCGTACTCTACTTCATGAACTCGTGGTGTATATCCAGTGAGATTACAGATTTTACACACAATCAAGTTTTGTTTTGTTTTGTTTTTCTTCCGGTACCAGGAATCGAACTCACGACCTTGTGCTTGCCAGGTGCTTTGCCGCTGAGCTAAATCCTCAGCCCCTACACAGCGAAGTTTTATTGAGAGTATGAATCCAGATTTTAAAATTCGCTTTATCTTTGTGATCAAGCCAAGCATAACATCTACTACCGAAGCAAGACTGGAAAGCACACCAGGTAGAAGGGAGTTCATGGGGCTCACACATAGAATAAGGCTCAGATAATACCTGCAGTCTTGCAGAACAACCTCTGAATGGTCGTGCTAAACAAAAAGGCTCAAACTGATTGTGGGAAAAAATAAACACTGGAGGAAACTAAAAACCTGCATCTGAGTGTTATGAACCCATGAGAGGCTGGGGTGACAAATAGTAGCTCCTTCCATTAAGTCTGAAAAACCTAAGGAAAAAAACAGGCCAGAGACTCCCAAATTGAATGGATGAAAGGTTCTCAAACAACGGTGGACTGTTTGAGTTTGGGGTGGGTTGGCGAACCCCTTACCTGCATGTTGTGGGCAATTTCTTCCCTGTCAGAGAGGATCTGGGAAAGGTTCTTGGTGCCCAGAACATTCCTGAGAGTAGTCTGTGCCAGAAGACGGGTCGCCGAGTCGGCGTTGGTGATGTTTGCCACAGCCAGGGTCGCATTCTGAACGCGGTAATAGACCACACCGTCCACGCTGATTGTCACTGAATCCTTTGTGAGGACCTGAAGGAGGAAGCAAGCAACGCTGTATCTGCCAACCAAAGACTTCTTTCACACAGCTGTAAGGACTGTTGTTCTACAGACTACCTCTAAACACTAGCGGTTTTTCTTGAGTAAGGCGTCAGAAAGGTAATTATATCCTTAGGAATTTAATAGAGCATATTTGTTTATTCTTTGAATCCATTGACTCAATCATTCAACGTATTTTTCGATACCACTCATGAGTAGATATTATATTGGGAAAAAGATATGAAAAACTTTGGCCCCTTCATCCAAGAGGTTAGGGATTAAGGAAGCCTTTTAAGTGACAAGGTGTGGGTAGCTAAGGGTGGCAGGGGAGAGACCTGACTGAATCTAGAAAAAAGAATAAAAATACTCTGAGGGTGGAGTGGACAGCATTCGAGGCAGAAGGAATTGTGTGTACAGAGGAACAGAGGCATGAGAGAGCTGAAGTGGATGAACTACAAATAGCACAGTATTACTGGGACAAAATGCATGGGAATGTTTTTATAAGACAGGGTCAGGGAAAAATATATTCACGGCATGCTACATCAGAATGCTTACCACGACATAATTTTGTTTGAACTACAGAAGTTATTTGAGGGAGAGACACGACACGAGGAAGACAGTAACACAAATCACTTAACCTCTCTGGGACTCAGCTGCCTCATTTGCAGAGGTTAATATTAGTACCAACATTACAAGACTGTTGTTAGAAATGAGTTAAGACATTTAAGTGCTAAGAATAGAGCCTGACACATGGTAAGAGCTATCTTTCAAGACCACGTTAGTGCACACCTGTAATGCCAGCACTCTGGGAGGCTGAGGCAAGAGGATTGTAAGCTCAAGCCCAGGTAGGACAACTTAGCAAGACTCTGTCTCAAAATAAAAAATAAAAAAGTGCTGGGAATATAACTCAGTGCAAAGGCCCTAGGTTTAATCCCCAGTCTCACTCCACTGTGTTTCTAACTCATCTCCTACAGATAGATGGCCCCTGACTTAAGATAGCTCTCTTCATGATGATCTGACCTCGTGATGATGCGAAATCAATTCACCTTTGGTAGACCCTCAACTCCAATTTCTCAACTATGGCCTCTTTCCAGGACAGTGATATGCAGTGATTTCTTCCTTCTGATGCTGGGCAGCAGCAGCGAGCTTCAGCTCCCAGTCAGCCCCGCGATCGTGAGGAGAAACAAACGCTACCCTACAGCGTATGTGCCGCTAAAGCACCAATGCTTGGTAGAGTAGATGTATTCAGTGAAGTTTTGACTGAATGCTATTTTCAGTTTACTATGGGATTATCAGGACTTAACTCTCTTGCTGGTCAAGAAGCACCTGGGCTTATGCAGCGGCGATCTGCAGTCCTAACTCAGCAATCCTTCGCTGACACGGGCCAGTGGCTTCCTGCCACCGTGAAGGCAAAGTCCTTTGACATCCGGCCCCACTCTCCCACCTCCTGCACCCGTTCTGTGCCAGGCCACACGCGGGTCCCGCATGCTCCGTGTTCCTCTCCCCGGGCCTTTACACCGGCCCTGACTCTGCCTCAAAGTCTCCTCCTTGCTTGCTCCCAACACGAAACTAGCACATTCCTATGCACCAGTCATGCATCTCTCCCCTGTGAAACGCCCCTGCCTCACTCCGCAGAGGCCGGCGGTGCACGCACGCTGCACCCCAGTGTCCTGACATCTTTATCGACAGCTCTGCTTCTCTTTCAGATGATGACTTCTTAGGGGCAGTTTGTCTTTCTGTCTCTAGCGCAGGCAGAGGGGGTTGATAAGTGAGAGGTGAAATGGAAGGAAACAAGGTCCCAGAAAGAGTGGCTGACGAAGTGTGGAGGGGAGTCGGAGGCCTGGACTGTGTTTCCGGCTCTGCTTGCTCCCTCTGGAGGACCTCGAGCAGGGATTGAAACCATCTGACCCGGTGGCCCCTCATTTCTGCATTGGGGTTAATGATAGTGCCCAATTCTCCCCAAATGTCTACCAAGATCAATTTAAAAGACGTTGTGAAATGCGTAAACAAAGCCTTTTGGAAAGGTAGGGGGCCAGTAAATGGGCAGCAGTAACAACACTGCTGCTGCGTAGCTACTTAGCTGTGCCAGGCATCGAGGCAGTCATCTTCTTTTTCTCCCCTGCAGTAATCTAAAAATATCCTTAACAAGAAAGAGAAGCAGGGGGCTTGTAAATAAATGCACAGTCTATTACCATCTCGTGTGGACATTATTTCCCAGGATTGATGGGAAAATGAGTGTCGATCCGGGGCCGGATTCCTGCCCCTGTGACTGCCACAGCGGCTCTCAAAGCTGCAGCTTCTCGCCGCTGACTGTTTTGGAGGCAGAGTGTTTATCTCCCTTCACAGTCAGTTCACAGGGGATCGGAAAAAGGATTGCTTGCCAAGTTCCAATCTGCTCTGCGTTCAGCAGCTTCAGGGGAGGAGGGAGCGGCTGGAAGGGAGAAGCTCACAGCAGCCCTGCCAGATGCCTGCAGTGTTTACACGGGAAGCGGCCAGAATTCAAAGCAACCGCGAGAAAGGGGCTCCTTCAGAGAGTCAGTCTTCCTTGAAAGATGGGAAAACTTGCGGAGAACACAGGGATGCTCTCCGACTTGCTCCTGTAAGATGTGGGTAAAATGATCTCTGGCGTCTTGAAGGTTGTGGGGATTCAAAAGTCTGATCTTAGCAACTACTTGGATCAGTGCCAGCAAGGGAGTTCCTGAGCTGGTTTCTGGATTTTGTGGCAAAAGAAAGCAACCTGGCCATGTTCCACCGCCATGCTGAGGGGCTGGGGGGCAGCCAGGAAACACAGACAGGGTTCCTCCGTCCCTCCCTGCACCGCGCTTGCAGGTTTTCAGTCTGCAGTGGTTATTTTGTCTCCTCGGACACAGGCTGGGACATGGGTGTCACCTCAAGGGCCATGACGGAGCAAACGCCGGGTGCGTTTAGCAGGGAGCTTGGGGAAAAGCACTGGACAGGGATTTGGAGAGCTGAATTTTGGTCCTGGCTCTGCCATTGTAGTCTGAGGGACGCCCTCCTCTTATTGCAACTCCATACTTTCTAGAGATTCTGCTATGGTTTTCAACTGTGACAGTATTTGTGAAGTTGCCAAAAAAGCACAAAATATTGAAGAATATATCTAAAAATGCCAAATGAGTAGTTTCAAATTCTTTCGCTTCTACCAATTTATCTACAACAGAATCATGACAACTGATCTAAATAGCATCTTCTATCCAAAACCCATCGAGGAGAAAAACAGTGACGGTGACTACAGTGAGGGTGTTCAGGTTCCACTCCCACCAGCGTCCCAGCCCGCTCTGTCAGAACAGCAGCAAGCACTCATGCCGCACTTGCTGCTCAGCAGGCGCTGTCCTACGCACTTCACACGTGACAGCACATTTACTCCTCCCGACAACCCTACGAGGTGGGCCCTGCTAGTACAACCTCTGCCTTATAGTGAGAAAACAACTGAAGCACGGAGAGGGCCAAGCTCTTCCCCAGGGGTGTGGAACTGGGGAAGGAGAAGCGAGTCAGGTCCAAAAATGTCCTTTTCAAAGCTAACAGTGGTGGTGCACACCTACAATCCCAGCACTCAGGAGGCTGAGGCAGGGGATCACCGTGAGTTTGAGGCCAGCCTTGTCAAAGAAGAAAAGAAAAAGCAAAGCGAAGGGAAAGGAAGGGAAGGGAAGGGAAGGGAAGGGCAGAATAAAAGTGTTTTTCTTTTCAGCATAAAGCATGCTCACACATGATCCCTCAGCCACTGCAAAAGAAGAGCTCACCTCCTGAGGAGGGATGTCAAAAGAAATGGTCCTCATGTCCACTTTGATGAAGCTGTCAGTGCAAGGCAGAATGAAAAACAAACCTGCAACGAAGATACACACAGGGTCAGAGAGACACCGGCGTCTCCGCTCACTTCCCCAGCAATTCTGATGGCACCCACCCAATCAACCACAGTCACCAACTGCACGAGACAGAAGCCTGGAAAATTATCCTCACTCCTCTTGCTTGCCTCCCACCTCGAAGGCTCCCACTAAGGCCCCATGGGATTCACTTCCTTATGCCACTGTCACTGTCACTCTTCTTCCTTCCCTTGGACCAGTGCAATTGCTTCCAAGTTGTTCTTTCAGCTTCGCTCCTATGCCCCATTTCCTATGCTGCAAGCACAGCCATCTTCCCCAAGAGGCTGGAACCTTGCCCACCACAGTCCTGAAGGACCCGCCTTGCCCACTCTTCAGCCACAACCTCTGTCCTCATACCCTCATACCCTCATACCCTCGCTCACACTGGGCTGAGCTGCGGGCCATCCCCTGAATCTGCAGCGGCCTCCCTACAATGCTTTGCACATGCTGTCATGTCTGCTGGGACCACCTGCCTGTGGCTACCACCTGCGCTTGCCTCAAGACTCAGCTGGGAAGCCAGCCCCAGGGGCCTTGCCTCACCCACTGCTAGGCTGGTGAGTCACTCATCTCCGGGTTTCTCAGTTCTCTGGCTTTCTGCAGTGACCTGACCACAATCCTCATCCCACACAGTGTACTAGGTACGATCGAAATACATGGTGAATGCTTACATTTTAAAAAATTCTTACAGTAAACGACATATTGCCATTCATCTCCTCAAAATACTTCCCCCTTTCTTTGAAAAGCAGACTGGTAAAAAACACGACGCTGTGTCCTCATCCACCTTACTCATCCGATCTGGCACGGTTTGACTCCAGGGTCTTCCCCAAAGTCAGAATGACCATGAGAGGTAAATGTTTTGGCTTGATTCAGGATATTCAGGCGGCCAAAACAGCAAGCTAAGGACCCTCACAGAAGAGAACTTCCACGACTGCTTCAGCAAGTGGGAAGAACAGCGGGATGAAGTGTGTGTAAGGGACACCTTGTTGCTGGCCTACCATTACATAGTAAGATCGTCAAGGAAAGGGGCTCTTCTGGCCTCTCTTAAATTCCCAGGGCCTGGAACGCACTAGCAGTTCAACTGAAGTTTGCCAAATGAATAACTAAAGGCCTTTCCTTGACAGGGGCTCTCATGCTCCGATTTGCATAGCTGTAGCTATTCCTGGGTGAAGATAGTACTATCAGCTGGAATGGGAAGGAAAGGGGAAGGGTGGGAAGGGAAGGCGGTCAGTAGTGAGATTAGTGGAACTGCTATTGTTAGACACCTTCTGCTCCACGAACTCCTTCCAAGTCAACAGAGCGGAGGCCCTCACAAGGGAAAAGAATTTCAGTGTCCAGAGGGGCAACCCCTAATCCTAGCACTCACCAGGTCCTTTGGCTCCTCCTTGTAAAATGCGGCCCAGTCTAAAGATGATGGCTCTTTCATACTCCTTTATAATCTGGAAGAAACACACGAAGGAAATTTAACAGGAAAAGCACAAACATTTACATGCATAGTTTAAATACTTTTCTTCTAAATGCCTCATATTCAAATAATATTTTTTCTTTATATTCAGGTATTATCTATAAACAATATGTCTAATGTTTATCCTCTCCAAGCATGACATTTTTATTAGGTTTTGACCAATTATAGACGCAATAGATAGTCACTGCATAAATTTGGGAAGTACAGACTAGCGTACACAAACAGACCCATAATGTCACTCCTCAGCTGTCAGTATTATTCACTTATGCTCATGCATTATTTATTCAAGAAAAAAAAACTTAGTTTTTCTTCTGATTCCTTTTTTTTTGGTGGAAATGGGGATTGAGCTCAGGGCCTCTGCACTGAGCCACACCCCGAGTCCTTTTTTATTTTTTATTTGGAAATAAGGTCTTGCTAAACTGCCAAGATATCTAAGGGCTGGGCTTGAACTTGAGGTCCTCTCCTCTCAGCACGGGTGTCATCTTGCCTGGTTTCTTCTGGTTCCTTGAAGTATAACAAATTCATGTAAAAGAGGTTGACGCATATTTTACCCTTTTAGGAATATACAAGCCATAGCTATTTATCCAAATATCATGAACTACAGAAAAAATAACCAGCATTTGGCAGCACTGATTACAGGCTAGGCACTGGGTAAGTCATCTACACACACTGTTTCACTTAACCCCCACCACAGCCCTGTCATGTAGGTGCTGTTATCTCTCCCCATCTTACAGATGAGGAACCGTGGTAGAGGTCACATGGTAAGACACGGAGCTGGGAGGCAAACCTTGCCATCGCAACTCTGGGAAACCTGTTCTTGGGGGGCAGCTCACATCCCTGGCCTAGAAAAAAATTTTTTGAACCAAAGCCTTGCTATGTAGTCTGGACTGGCCTGGATTCACTGTGTAGCCCAGGCTGGTCTCGAACTCGAGGCAATCCTCCTGCCTCAGCCTCGCGAGTGCTAGGATTACAGGCATGTGCCACCATGCCTCACTCCCAGAAAATTTTTAACGGTGATCCCACTTTAATCCATGGAGAATGATTGATTGGATAATGGCTAAAAAGCAGTGTTAAGATTTCACTCTAACTGTTAAGTAGAATGAAATTTCCAATAGAGATTCAGGAAAAAGAATTACAGGCCAAGTATGGCCTCTCTCTGTCTCCTGCACACACAAGGTGGATTTATGTAAGGTAGGAGCTGAGCCCTTTCTAGAAGTGAGTGAAAGGTTCTTTACCTTTATGCACATCCATATCGATAGTGGGAATGTTACAAGTGTGAACAGGAATGAGACAGCCACCAAAATCCATCCACAAACTCCAAGGCCTCTCTGGGGGGTGTCTCCTGAAAACGAAAACCAGCAACTCTGAGCATGCTGCTAGCACGATCGCCACCACCTTCACTCCCGCTAGCCGCTGAACACCTATGTACCCGGCATTATGCTGGCTCCTTTTGGTGCATTTTCCATTCCAACCCTCACCCAACCCTGCGGTACAGCCGCTACTTTCCTTAGTCGGCTTAACACAGGTACTGCCCAGCATTACTCATTACTTTCTTCAGGAAACATTTATTAATCACCTCTTAGGTCTTTTGCCCTGTACTTTGCATTAAATGTAATTCAATCCCAGCTTCCAAAGAGGCTCAAGTTAAGTGGAGAAGAAAAAACAAACTGATAATCATAATAGACTACTAGGCGGTTAAGTATAGCTATGGAGCATCTATTTAGAACAGGCACGGGGATGACAGTGGGGTGGGGTGGGTAGGTAATAAAAGTTGTCGGAGCCCTTCTTGAAGGATGTAATAGCAAGGAAAATTCTTGTGAAAAGGAAGGGGAAGCCAGAGGCATTTTAGCCGAAGCTACAGCATGATTCAAGGTAAAAATGATACACTCTACATTGCTTAGAGCCTCTTTCTGCAAAATATTTTACTGGTTTTATAAACCTTTATTTATCAGCAATTTCCTGATCAGTAGATAGATAACGTTTTTGGCTTCTTATTCTTAAGAACAACGCTGTAATGAACATCCTTGTACCTACTCTTCCTTCCACATTTCTGCTTCTCTTTCCTGTATAGGAAATAGTGTTTCCATCTTATTACAAAATAATAACTGAACTGCAAAAAGTTCAGACAATAAAAGAGGGAAAAGTGCTTCCAAATCTAACGATAATAAATATTGTGGTACATTCTTCCAAACCTTTTTCCTGTCAGGTAACCATATTTTAAAATCAATAAAATTTGTAATCACTTTTTGCAGCCTATGCAGCTATGCTTTTGTGCTTGCTCTGTTTCTGTTTAATCAAAATTATGTTTGTTTAAAGTTTAAAAAGTTAATGGATAAGTACAAAAAAGGGCAGTTCCTGCTCACCTCAGTTCTTCTGCCTCAAGAGAAACAGTTTTCTGGGCAGAGCATTTTAGTATTTGCGTTCACATTTCTAACTGTTTTGCTTGTTTTGATCCTTCTCACTTTTTAGTTTTGAGCATTACCTAGTGACTTTCCACTACAGAAGAGGATTTGGCTGTTTCTCTGCCTTCCCACATCACATACACACACCTATCTTTTCAATATAATTACACCATAACTCTGGTTAGATCAGTGTCAGACCTCACATTACCATGAATATGTAAACACTAGGCAGAGCTAAGCGCACACTAGAACACACGTTCTATGGGATAAAAACACGGAAGCACACAGTGAGTGCCTTGGTTAAATTTGACTTCCAAATTTTCTGATCCTGTGTCGGAGTGGAGTGAATGTCCTCATACATACTTACATAAAATTAAGGCTTCCTTTCCTCTAAAGCTCTTTGTTTTTTTCTGGAGTTAGTGGTTTCCCCCTGCTTTTCTGTGTCTTCAGTGCCTTCTCATCGATTCAACCTCACACTCCGTCAGTGGTCTGAATCTCCTGTCAGAATAGCCAGGCATCCTCTCCATTCCTTTCCGAAGCAGCCTTGGGGTAGACTTCTCCCTTCAGCTCACACAGCCACCGTTCGCTAACTGCCTTTCACGACTACTCTGGGGTCCCCCCCATCATCTCTTGAGTTGGAGTTTCTATTTTCTGTTGCCCTTGTCTTCCTCATTTTTGTCTCTCCTTTCTGTAGAGATTAACGGGGCTGAGAAAGCCTTGTTGATTTTCTTATTAGTCAGAGAAACCTTCTGCTCTATTTTTAAGAACTGTTTTATATTTATGTATTTATTTACTTATTTTGCGGTACTGGGGTTGAACCCAGGGCCTTTTCCTTGAGCTACATCATCCCCAGTCCCATTTTATTCTTATTTTGAGACAAAGTCTAAGTTGGCCAGCCTGGGTTTTAACTTGGGATCCTCCTGCCTCAGCCTTCTAGAGTGCTAGGATGACAGGTGTGTACTGTTATGCCTGGTTACAAGAGCTGTTTTAATGACAAAAGTTTGTGGAGAAGGGAGAAGGTATTCCAGGGATGTCTTACTGCTTAGAGGAAAGGGTAAAAAGAAGCAGTGACACAGGCTTTGCATAAACAAGAGACCAAGCAAGGAGCAGAGGATTCAGGCTGGGGCCATAAGCAAAAAGATAGACATGTCAGTATCCGGGCCAAGAAACACAGGATAAAAACTCAGAAACAGACAGCGAGCACCTTGATTCTATTTAATGTTTTAATTTTTCTGATCCTGTGTCATCACATGGGGTAAAAGTCCTCATGCGTGCTTAAGCAAAAGTTAATCCTGCATTAATGCTGAAGGTTTCTAAGTTATAGCTATTGGGGGACAGATGCGTCCACCAAGAGAATGTTCAAAGCAGGGATGCAGTGCTGCTTGCGGCGAAAGTTCTACCGGTATTATCACAGCTGATAATAACAACGGTGGCTCTTTGGATGGCTTTTTAAGGGCCAGAATTACTTTAGAAATATGTCGTTTACCTCTCAGGACAACCTTGTGAAACAAAGTATTTCTATCTTCACTTGATGAATGCAGTAACTTAAGCAAAAATATAACTTTCCCAAGGTCACAGGAAAAGGACCCAGGAGCAAATAGAGGTCACTTATCCCAGAGCCCATGTTCTAAATCTGGATGCCTCACCACTAAACCTAAAAAGTCCTCACTGAAGATGTCTATAGGTAAAATAACAATGATTGATAATGGCCTACCCCCTTGTCTGTAATTCGGTGAATCCCCCTATTGCTATGTTGTCCTTCTTTTACTCTTTAAATTTAAAAAAAAAAAGAAGAAGATGTCTGGCGCACTTTCTCAAGAAACAGGGAAGGCGCGGCAGGAGCTTTGAGAATGAATGAAATCTGCTGTCCTTACAGAGGCGCCCTCTTCATTCCAGCTGTTGTCTATTCATAGCCACAGACAGGGTCAAGGCTCTGCACCAGGCTTATGTCTAGAGTTCCAGTGAAATAGTAATCTTGTAGATTCCAAACAAGGAACGGATTGGCCACAAATACTCATAGCTGTGTCCACAACGTCCCAATGACAACCCCCTGAAGGCGATACCCGTCCTCCCAAGGCAGGCATGGTTCCTGTTTATTGTCATTTTTCACAGTGCTGGAGGTGGAACCCAGGACCTGGATGTCAGGTCAGTGCTCTACCTCTGAGTTATAGCCCCAGGCCTTCTGTTTATATTGTTATTGTCTAGCACGGTATCCTGCATACCTGACTTTCCAGAAGATGTGCTTTAATTAAATTTTGCTTAATATATACTTTAATTTCTTATGCATCTATATCCCCCCTTACACTAAGTTTTTCTGAGGTTTGAATTTCAGCTTCTTTTTTTTAAATTTAGTTCTGTTACTTCTTAGTGGTATGATATTTACCTCTTTAGGCCTTAGTTTCCTTACTTGTAAAAAATAAGGATTATTAATATGTATATGTACATGTACAGTCTCCCAAGATGAATGTAATTACTGTGTATTGCAAACATATATTAATAAAAAAATTTAAAAGGATTATTAGACTGGCCTTATGGAATAGATGCAGTGCTTGGTACAGAGCATAGTTTTATTAAGCACCTACTAATGACTGGTGTGGTGCTGAGTACTTTCTTTTATTGCACAGTGCTGGGGATCAGATTATAGTTTTATACACCCCTTCTCTTTTACCCTTTCTGCCCTTTTAGCTAAAAATCTCTTTATTTTTTCTTTTTTTGGTCTTTTTGAGACAGGGTCTTGCTATGCAGTTCAGGCTGGCCTTGAGCTCACTCTGTAGCCCAGGCTGGCCTTGAACTTGCAATGATTCTCCTGCCTCAGCCTCCCGAGTGCTGGGATTACAAGCGTGCGCCACCACGCCTGGCTAAAAGTCTCTTAAAATGATTTAATTTGTCCCTTTCTTTATGCTGCCTCCAGGCAACCTAGGCTTGGACATGCAAAGATTCTTAAGAAAGTGCATTTATAAAGACAGCCATAAAGGACAAGCCAGGAAGCTCAGCCACGGTTGTTTCTGGGTCCAGTTCCCCTGTCACGGTGAGTTCCTTCAAGCTCCGTTAGTGGACAGGACAGCAAATCAAGAGGAGTGAGGTTTACGTGGATACCTAAAACTGGGCTTGACCTTTCACATAGCAAATACTCAGCTAGAAGTCATCAGGGTGTGTACATAAAAAATCAGAGTGTCCATTATGGGGAAATGACACTCCACGTCTCCCTTCATAATTAAATGATTCCATTTTCAACCCTCGAGACTCTTCCCCACCGGGTCACACCTCAAAAAAATGCCTAAACCACACTCCTGGGAGAGGTGAGAAGGACGCCACCAGGCTTAGAAACAAGAGCCCTCACTCAGTCTCCTGGCCCTTCTGGGCAAAAGAGGAAAAGCACTTTTCTCAGCTACTCACCAACACTTCCGGAACTCCATTCCCTTTCAGTCTCTCACCTCTGACTTTAGGGTCCAATTCTTCCTATCTGCTCTCCAAGGGAAATGCCAAGAACAGGCTGTCCGTGTTCCTGAGATACTGAGGTCCACACACCTGGCCATGTTTTGCTGGTGAGAATGCTGTTAAAGACTAGGGACCTCTAATACTTGGTTATAAATACTACTTTGCCATGGTTTAGAGTATTTTTCTTTCTTTTACTGCCAAACTCTTTCTTGAAAATTGCATTGCAATAACATTTTAATCAAGCAAAGCCATGGTCTGAATATGGACGTAAGCTCACAGATTTAATTTTTTGTGTTGAACATTCAAATTGCACTTACTTCCAGGAAATTAATAAAAAAGTTTTATATTACTGCTTTAAAAAAATAGTCACTAGGATAATTAGAAATTATAGCTCAGCATATAGAAAAATTATCTATACCTGTACCTTAGGTAATTATTTTTTTGCCTTACTTTATGTTTTTTTTTTGTCTTTTTGAGACAGGGCCTTGCTCTGCAGTTCAGG